GAAATGTCCTGGGAGATTTTCAAACCCGAAGAAAGGCTTCAAAAGATGAGAATGAAATCGTTTTACAGGCGGCTAGCGTCAGGTGAAGAATTTGTTTCCAGTAACAAGTGAAAGAACGAGTAGTCGGGGGTGGCACAGTGAACATTAAGAGTGACCAGCTGCAGGTGTGCCATCAAACTTTGCACGTCGGTGCCGTGTCATCATTGTACTGACATCCTTTGTTTTCTGTACAGTCTCTTAACTGGCGTCATGTTTAAGGTGATCGAACTAAGTGGTGGAAGTATGCAGCCAGGGATATTATTGGGTTGGCCTAAGGAATCAGTAGGGGAGAACAAATCCAGTGTAAGAGTGCAGGTATATTTTTGGTCCGGATGAGGATCCGTTCGGGTGTAGAACGCAGACTGGTTGGAGTGAATAATGCCCATACGGGTGCAATTGAAGGATCGGGGACCGTCGAACAGGCATACTTACGGAAAGAGCAAGCAGTCGTTGCTTTGGAATGCTGGTATTTGGAAGTTTTTGCATACATTCAGTGTGCTGAAAAGGCCCTCCTGGCGCATGAAACACACACGGCCCGGAATTGGGATAGGAATGGTAAGATACGGGAGTTGATCACACTGGGAGGGATAGCGCGCAGTTAGCCGTTTTGGGCGAATCATTTAGGGTTATTAGGGCGAGTAGAATTGGCTCGGAAATGACGATTGAATGAAACGGGGAATAATAAACTAAATTTTTAGTTCCAGTTAAGGGGGAAAGAAAGCTTTACTGCCGCTATTCGGCTCAGAGAATAATGTGGTCATATTCATGTTGTGAACTCAAATTCAAAAATACCGCTACTTGCGAGCATGAGGGTAGTGAATGGATGATGTCCAAGCTTGGAAGGTATTTAAGGGTGACTGTAGTCATTAGGTGTTGTAGCGACGCGGTGAAGACCGTTCCTCAAAACACCGGTCACCATCCAGGCGGAGATGGTGAGGATGTTGATGAGTGATTGAAGTGAACATGTGTGACCATGTGTGATTATAAGTGTTAAGCTTGGGAGAGATTGGCCTAAAAGTGTTCCTGAAGACCCAAACACAAAGCTGAAAATCGTGACAGGTAGTTAATACTCTCCGTGAACTGACCATTTATATACCTTCATGCATCAGTGATACCACGGGCGGATCGCTTATGACTGTAGCAGAGGCCACATTATCGTCCAAATTTGTGGTCAAATCACCTGAACCAATCAAATGCTTTTGGAGTGGGGTCTCTGGCTAGTCTGCACTCTTGGGTTTCAGGGGCACCGAGCGCAAAAACCGACTGTTTACGGATGGTTCAAGTGGTCTAACAGGAAATTTGGAGACGGAATGAAGGCCACGTCATACCGTTTCCTTTTTGCATTTCTAATTATAGAGCCTTAGTGAGCATACTGACAGGCGAAGCATGCGAACACAGGCGGTAGTAGGGATTTATGAGCTGTATCCGAAAGCAAGTGGCAAAGCAAAATGCCCGCACGCCTAAACATGAGCTATTTATCATATGGGCTTTGATTACAGGACGTAGAAATCACCAAAATCATCATAGCTTGATGGTCTTGTCAAATGCTAGCCGTAGGCCTAATATGCTGGATGTGACTAAAAGTTTGCTTGTAACGCGTGGATTAGTGAGACACATGCGGCGCTGTTTCTCCCGAACTACCAGACATTTGTCACACGAGATCAATAAGTGGCACTCCTGACGAGCATACGGTACGCATACGTTGTAGAAGGCCCTGTCCGTAAACCGAAGCATGTCAGTGTCACACCCACTGTGATGGCACTCGTGCAACTACTTTCTTTAGAATCTTGGGCATCACTTCTCGTTTATGGGACGAGTTCTTTTGTACCCGATGAATTTGCGCTCTAATTTGGTCAGCTTGGTTTTCTGCTGCAATTTCGGCTTGCCTTTCCCAAAGTTTAATGCATAAGGTGCTCTGTTGGCCCTATGCATTAGCGCCATCTCTTTATCCAACT